GGAGTTGTAAAATGAGCCTATTTCCAAAACAAAGACAGTTACTTTGTCTATTTTAGTTTTGATTAAAATAAAATTGTAGTATGTCTTTGAGCTACACAGAGTTTTTAAATGAAAATTTGAGAATTTTTTTTGGCCTTATTTCAGAAACTTTCATTTTTAGTTTTTTCAATAACCACAGAAACAATATTCTCTAAAAATACAAACATGTACATACATGTTGCTCACATATTATGGTTGCCCTGTTTGTGCTAAATATAGTGTAATTTCACCTGTGCCATTAATATGTTTATAAGCAACTTGCACTCGCGGCTTTACTTCTGACCAATGGAAGAGAGCGAAGGGGTGTCGTCCATCTTTTTACAGTCTATGGTCAAAACAAATTCCACGAGCCTCTAGAGGCCGCTCTCGAACTGTATAATGACAGCGCACCCTTGTCAGCCGCTCCAGTAGCCAGGTTTCCATCCAAGGGTTTTTGTTTTGTTTTTTGCGAAAAAAGATTTAGCTCATCAAAATGTTTACCGATATAGCTGATAGAAACGCCAATTATCGATATTTTTTGTTTGCAAATGTCGACAATTTAGCGAATAAATTCTATGTCAATACTTTAAATGTCGCGAAAAACTAGTTTGGGAAAACTTTTTGTGAAGGAAATGGGCTTTAACGCAAATAAATGTGATGTCAACATTTTTATTACGTGGAAGGTGCAGTCGTCACAACAAAAACCATAGCGGACTCGGAGCGATATTCATGGACAGATGACGAGACTCGTCGTTTTCTCCATTTAATTGAAGAAAATGATATTACTTATGTATTTTTGATGGAAAACAGCAAAGGAATGCTACCACATTTCAGGAGTTGCAACGAAGAATGGCTATAGACCTTATTCAGAGCAGCGCCATGACAGGTATGAAAGTGAGGCTGTGAGGGATAGACTTACCGTGTTTCCAATGGCATCCGCTGTAAAAAGCTGAATAAAGCGTCTAGATTACTTACAATTTTCCACAGCTTACATTGTCGGGAGTTTTTTGTAAACTGACATTTCTTAGAAAGATATTTTTCCAGTGTTTCATAAGCAGAACAATCTGAAAACACATTAAATAACAGTTCAGCCCATTGAAGAGATGCAAGTCTATCCCTCACAGCCTCGCTTTCATTCTCATTAAAAATCAAAGATGGCGCTGCCGTGAATAAGGCGTATTAATGGCTACACTGAGCCATGGCATATTCTTAGCAGCAAATGGAAGGGACTTCTGGAAAAGCTTCTGTAAAGTGTCTCTCCACAGACACACCTTATTGCGTGGTCTCTCCCAGACCCTTGGGCTTTGTGTTGATCTGGTGTCGTGGTTCTGACGACAGAGAGCTTGAATGTCACGGCCGAGCGCCACTAGCCTATTTTAGTAATAGCTTGACAATTTAATTTACATTTTATATAAATATAGGCCTACATATTCTTTTTACTTTTTTAATGGGAATTCCTTGGTCAAATATTTTATGTTTTATTTGACCTTTTCACGGACCACCTGCAGCACCCTCACAGAACACTAGTGGTCCGCGGACCACAGTTTGGGAATCGCAGAGGATTGTACATTTATAATTGTGTTTCGGATGCTCTCTATTTTCTCATCGAAGTAATTCATAAAATCATTACTACTACACTGTAACAGAATATTTTGCTCTGGTGATGTCTGTAAGCAGTGCTCAGTTGTTTTTCTTGGTTGCTCTGGTGCTCTTCATAATCCTGTCTCTGTCCTCCTCATAAACAACAGTCGCTGTTGATCGCCACATTTCAGAGCTAATTAATTGTGGCGCACTTGTATTTCAGAGCCACACACTCTCTGCGCATCTGTCTGCACTCGCGTCCCTCTCGCTGCTGAAGAGTCAGGTGTTTGAGCCACTCAGCCTCATCTTTGAGCCCGTGAAGGCATTAGCCTGTGGTTTACTCAGCTGCTGATATTTGGAGAGATGCTGTGGTAGCTTTAATGACATCTGGAGATGTGATTGAGGCATCAGCAGCATGTGTGCTGTTACACGCTTGATTTGACATCCCAGAGGCATGAGAACTGCTTAGAAGATGACAGGCACTTTTATTTTTTTATTTATTGGTTTTGTTGGATAGAAATCATGTTTGTAAATGTCATAGTATATCAATATAATCATATACCATGGTTATCATACTATATTAGCATGAAAAATGCCAACATGCCATGGTTATTGTCATTTGATGGCACCACTGCATCTTTTTTTTTGTAATGTAGATATGAAAATCATGTTTTTCCCCATTATTGTTGAATCACGGAAGATACACCAGATATTTTTGCCAATAGATTTCTGTTTATTATTTAATATCCAATATCCATGTATGAGACAGAGAGAAAGAGGCATAGAAGAATAAGGCTATAGGTGAGTGTAGTGTAGCCATTGTAGCCGTCATGCCTTTGTTTCTCTGAGGTGGTACAGTAAGGATTGAGCTTATATAAAGCACTTCCTTGTAAGATAGAAAAACATGTTGCTTATGTTTAAAAATGGAATGTAAACATCATGTATATACTAGGGGTGGTTAATCTGTCTGATTTCCCGATTCGATTCGATTACGATTATTGAAGTCCCGATTCGATTACAGTCGATTTTCGATTATTAACGATTCTCGATTACCGATTATTGATTTTCCATTTCACAACAGTAAACGAAAATACACTAGATCAACATATGATTATATTAGCAGCAGCAACATTTTGGTATTAATTGCACTTTTTATTTGTTTGATATTCATTGAAAATATAATGATGGTTAGTGGGGACATGCAAACATGCTTGTTGTCTACTACTTAGGCAACTCATTATCTTTACATTTATTAACTTAAATTTTTTTTTCAAAAGCAATTTTGTTGCATTATAATGCAAATGCACCTGGTTCTATTAATTGACAGCATTAAAATGTATTTTGTGATTTCCTTCAATTGAAAATATTTGAAGCAAGTTTGGGGGACTTGAAGGGCACCCGATTCAGAGAATCACCTAGAAATTCAAAAGAACAGCATTTATCTGAAATAGAAAGCTTTTGTAACATTAAACAATACCGTTCAAATGTTTGGAGTCGGTGAGAATTTTTATTTAATTTTTTGGGCAAAAGAAAAAAGAAATCTATACTTTTATTCATCAAGGATAAATTAAGTTGATCAAAAGTTAAAGTACAAGACATTTATAATGTTACAAATCGATTATCTGAATCTTTTGTGTGTGACTATAAATAATTTGCTTTAAAAGTACAAATTAATGCACAATATATTTTATTAACATTACAAAGAACGACCAGGAAAATAAATGTGTGCTTGAACTAGGAGCATACTTGTAGTAAATAAATAATATAACGACTGGTGCAGCCGAGGTGTCAAAGGTGTCATATGGCTTATCATATTTGTCGTGTTTCCGTCGTTGGTTTTATTCCACAAAGCGAACAACTAGTGCGGCTCTTGTCCAGCTCCTTTCCCCCTTCAACTTCAGAAGCCAAAATATTTCCACACGTCAGCTTTTAACCTAACAAGGAAAGTGTTTGGATCTCGCGTGCCATCTCATCTCTGTTATGTGCACGCCACAGACGGTCCGGCCACTGCACTTCCGCGCTTCAGAGTTCCGTCTTTCGCGTTCCGTCAATGTTACGTTATTATAAATACATATAAAAAAAAATAATAATTTTGAAATAGATTTTTTGACATTTGTGAATCGATTCAGGATCGTCCACGTCCGCATCGCGATGCATCGAGAATCGATTTTTTTCCCCACCCCTAGTATATACTAGAGCCCGACCGATAAAGGATTTTGAAGGCCTATACCGATACAAATATTTTTGGGTTTTAAAATCCGATATTCCGATATCGGCCGATATTTTATTTATTTATTTTAAACTAGACATGATTTTAAGAGAACTGATGGGGATGTTCTTTTAATTGTTATTCAAGCAATGTATCGTGACCAACTCAACGAGTGTTGCCAACAGGGACGTGTAGAGTGCCCTCTGGTGGACAAACTATACAACTCCAACACTCATGACATGGTTCAAGCGTGTTTCGTCCGTTTTTATTTTATTTTTGAAATATTTATTTATTGGCCATTATAACTGCCGATACCGATAGTTTGGAAAATGCCTAATATCTGCCGATAATATCGGCCTGCCGTTATATCGGTCTGGCTCTAGTATATACATGGTGCAATCCCATATCAATATTAAGAAACTATCCCTTGGTGTATACATTCATGGGACATATGCATCAGTTGAAAATCATTCATTTCCTTGTAAAGAATATGCCAACTTGTCCACATTTGCTGTATCGTCATCAGTGGATCATCTCTGCTTCGTTGCACACAGACCTCTTCGCAAAATATATAACTCATCCCATATCTCTTGTCAGCACACATGCACAACATACACAAAATACATTATGAAATTAATATGAAAATGAATAAAGAAAAAGGTCCCACTCTATATTAAGTGGCTTTAAGTACAGTACTATGCACTTACATAGAAAATAAGTACATAGTACTTATAATGTTCAGGTTTACGGGTAAGGTTAGGCTCATGTGTGGTGGTAGGTTTTAAGATAGGTTAAGGTGTAAGGGAAGGAGCAGCAGTGTAATTAAAAATGTAATTACATAAATTAATTACATGTTGGTATTTTCAAAATATAAGTACAATGTAAAAACATGTATGTACACAATATTGTATCAAATGATTAATTTCAATGTAAGTACATAGTACTTAAAGCCTACCAAGAAAAATAATACAAAGAAATAATAATTTTGAGTCTTCAAATGGGCTTTGTATTAGTTGAATGTGATTCCAGTCAGTTATACAACATCAAGTAAAACTCAAAGTGATGGATTTGCTCTGAGAGAATGTCTTTTATTTGACTCGTTGTGTTCAAACAGGTCATTGTCATGACCTTTCTTTAGTAGCAGTTCTGTTGTGCTCTTTTCCCAAGGTCTTTTTCTGTTTCTTTTTTTCAGTATTTCAACAATGAGAAGTATGAGGCTGAGCGGTACGATGCTTTTCTGAAGGTGTACGAGTCGTCCTCTCTGAAGACGACCACTACTCTGGCCCTGCTCAACTTCGGTCAGAGCGCCATCTTCACCGTCGGCCTCACCACGATCATGGTGCTGGCAAGCAAAGGCATAATGGCAGGTGAACATCAGTGATGTCACATTTGTATTACTAGATACACAAAATAGCTTTAGGGCCGTACTGGAGACTTTTACATTAATGGATTCAACTTCTAGACCCTTGTAGGTTTTTTTTTTTTTTTTTTTTGTTCGTACTTTATCAACATGCAGTTGCACGATGATAAAATGAGAGCTGAATGTTTCCAACCCAGCCAACAGAGGGTGTGCGTGTGACATCACGGCCACCGAGTGGCATTAATGCTGTGAAAAACACACAAAATGGGAAAGAGCTTTGAGACTGTCTGTACAAATAGATCTGAAAATAAATCTGAGGAATATTTTTACAGACTGTCGAAAGCTACAGAACAAAGAAACAAATGGATTCGCTGCATTTCACAGAGACAACTGGATACAGCCAGCGAAACATGGGTTTACAGTTATAATTCTGTCATATATTGATTTGGGAGTAAAATCATACCCTATATATTGTATTGGCAACTCATCAATTAAATATTTTTACAGTCGTATAGTCTGCATAATTAATGTTTTTACAAATGAACAGTGACAAAAAACATACAAGTTTTAGGGCTGGACAATATGATATATGATATATATATATATGTGTGTGTGTGTGTGTATATATGTGTGTGTATATATATATATGTGTGTGTGTGTGTGTGTGTGTGTGTGTATATATATATATATATATATATATATATATATATATATATACATACAGACCAGAATTAATCATGGTAAATATGATAAAATGGCAGAAAAAAATAAATCCGCATTGTTTTTACTTTTGTTCTTTCATTCAAAAAAATTGGCAAAATCCTAACCTTTCGTTTAAGTGAAAGAATTGAAAGTGGGGGGGAAATCACATTATAAAATAAATGTTTTTCTCCAAAACACGTTTGCCACAATTATTCATACCCTTTTATTAAATACCTTTTTGCAATCTCCTTTTGCCAAGATAACTGCTCTGAGATTTCTGATGAGTTTGGAGAACACCTGACCTGAGATCAGAGACCATTTCTCCATACAGACTCTCTCCAGATCCTTCAGATTCCCAGATCCATGTTGGTGCTTCTTCTCTTCAGTTCAGACCACTCATTTTCTATATGGTTGAGGTCAGGGTCTGGGACGGTCATGGCAGAAGCTTCATTTTGTGCTCAGTGATTGATTTTGATGTTTGTTTTGGATCGTTGTCCTTATGGAAGATCCAACCATGGCCCATTATAAGATCTCTAGCAGAAGGCGTCAGGTTTTGATTTTTTTATCTGTTGATATTTGATAGAATCCACAATGCCATGTATCTGAATAAGAAGTCCAGGACCTCCTGCAGAAAAATAGGCCCCCACATTAAAGATCCAATGGTATATTAAATTGTACACATGGGGTACTTTTTATCCTCATGTCCACCAAACCCATCTAGTGTGCTTACTGCCATAAAGCTCTTTTTTTAGTCTCATCTGACCACAGAAGCCTGTGCCGTTTGAGGATCCAGTCGTGTCTGACCAATGAATATGCTAGAGTTTGTTTTTGGAGGAGCGAGGAGGATTTTTCTTGAAATCCTCTCAATCAACATGTGTTGATGCAGGGGTTGTTTGATAATTTTTTTTAGGCTATCTGACCCCCAAGACTCAACTAATCTCTGCAATTCTTCATTTGGGATCCTTGAAGAGTCTTTGGACACTCAAACTTTCATCCTCGCCGTCCTTTAAGAAAAGATAGACACACGTCCTCTTCCTGGCAGAATCGTAACATCTTTAGTTGATTATAACGTCTTAATTATTGCCCTCATGGTCAAAATGGGAATTTTCAATTCTTTAGCTATTTTTCTTACATCCACTTTCTATTTTATGAAGCTCAACAATCTTTTGATGCACATCAGAACCATGTTCTTTGGTTTTATTCATTGTGATGGATGATTCAGGGAATTTCGCCTTTGAGCTTCCTCATATTTAAACTCCTGTGAAACAAGAAGTCATGACTGGACAATTCCATGTTCCTAGTCACCCTAGTGTGCTAAAAAAAATAGGTAAATATTAATGGGAATGTACTTCATAGACTTTTTATTCATAAAAAAAATTCTAGGGATATGAATATTTGTGGCAAACGTGTTTTGGAGAAAAACGTTTATTTTATAATGTGATTTCCCCCCCACTTTCAATTCTTTTACTTAAACGAAAGGTTAGAATTGTGCCTTTTTTTAATGAAAGATCAAAAGGATAAATGATGCAGATTTATTTTTTACAGCCATTTTATATCATATTTACCAGGGGTATGATTAATTCTGTTCACGACTGTGTATATATATATATATATATATATATATATATATAAACATTGATATAAGTTATCACTTGGATTTCACATGGAGACCACTAATATCAATGTTTGATGCATGTCAATATCCACGGATCACTGGATCTTTAGTAAGTTGTAAGGAACACTTATATCGAGTCCAACCTTCAGTTTAAACTGATAATCATTTGATTTACTGGCGTTTTCGCAGTTTCCCGTGTTAAACGAGTCACGCAGCCCCGTCGGGTGAATGACGTCAATGCACGCCCTCTATAAAAGCAGGTGTAAAAGTGTTTGTGTAAACAGTGTGTAATGGGTACTCTGGCTTCTTTCTGCTGTAGGGACCATGACTGTGGGTGATCTAGTGATGGTGAACGGGCTGCTCTTCCAGCTCTCGCTGCCACTCAACTTCCTGGGCACCGTGTACAGAGAGACCAGACAGGCCCTCATCGACATGAACACGCTCTTCACGCTGCTCAACGTGGACACTAAAATAAAGGTGTGCTGCAGTGCTTTCAATGCAGAGTTATTTTAATGTGAAAGGAATACTCTGTGAATGGTGCCGTTCCAAAATGTCAGAGCTTTTTAAAATACCACGACAAAAGCTTTCTTTTATATTTTACCATTACAAATTGAAGCGTTCATCCTAGTATTTGTGTTGATTTTGAATGTTTCCTGTCTTTCATGGCATTAGTGGGGGAGGTTGATGAATCTCATTCTTCGTTTGGCTAATTTCGAATGCAGCCTGTAATTAATCTGTCCGATTGTTCGCCGCGATCAGTAATGGTTTTCACCGTATGGCCGCACTGCCCATCAAGCCATTATTGCGAGACCCTAATATCTGTGTGTAGAATTAGAGCAAATGTGCCGTGTTCTATTGTTTTGACGTCGCCATTACAATCGACTGTTTCAAGCCTCAAAACGTAAACTTCAGACTGCTGAACGTGTTTGCTTTCTTTGCTTGAACCTCTGTGTCCTGAAGGAGAAAGAACTGGCCCTGCCGCTGCTCGTTGCTCCCCAGGAAGCCACCATCAGGTTCGAGGATGTGTATTTTGAGTACTTGGAGGGACAAAAGGTGCTTGACGGGGTTTCCTTTGAAGTCCCTGCTGGGAAAAAGGTGGCCATTGTCGGTGGCAGTGGATCTGGGTAAGTGCTCCGGGAAAGATTTACTTGCTTTATATTACCTCCAGCTTTCACTGAACTTCTGATCTTTGCACAATAGGGACAAATTGCAGCCCTATTACTTAGAAATACAACAATAAAAGGCAAGAGTTATGAGAACTATTAGATAAGTTTGATTATTTCCATCTAAAACTGCGATATGATTGAAATTTCATCATTTCAAGGCTTTTTGCAGCATAGCAGGAAGTCGAGTATATAATCTTATACAATTTGTCGTCAGCATTTGTCAAGCTTAACCCTGTTACTAAAGTTTTGAGAAAAAAACTAAGCAATTTGTTTTTATTTAACCCTTTGGGGACTAAGCCCTTTTTGGTCTGTTTTCTCTATTTTTACATTTGGGCTTATAATTGAGATGGATGTATTGGAGATGAAACACTATGTGTTTGGTGTCTATGGATTCAGAAGACCCTAAGCTAACATAAGCATGCATGTAATGTGTTTATAAAGGAAGTATGAGTGAAAAATGTACAATATACTAGAGAATTTCAAAAACGGATATTCAATTTTTGTCATTTATTTCTGAAAATCACACATCACACAACAATAGTGAACAGTTTTTGAACAAAAAATATATTTGTCAAAACCTTTGCTTGACAGCCATGTGTAATTGTTAAATAAAATGTGTAAAGAACAATTAAAATCTAACTTTATTTACAAATACTCCCAGGCGTTTTTCTTAGGAATGCTTAAGCAATGCTTTCTCCTCGTCACTCTCCAGTAATTGTTCCAGAGTCTGTTCCACCGTAAATGGAAGTCCTGTTGATAAAAATGATTTTTTTTAAAAAAATAAAAAAACCTGTTTTGTACGCAGTTCTTGCAAAGTGTCTTAAAGGAGTAGTTCACTTTAAAAAAAAAATACTTTGCTGATCATTTACTCACCCCCATGTCATCCAAGATGTCCATGTCTTTCTTTCTTCAGTCGAAAAGAAATTAAGGTTTTTGTTGAAAACATTCCAGGATTTTTCTCCATATAATGGACTTCAATGGGAACCAAACGGTTCAAGGTCCAAACGACAGTATCAGTGCTAACTGTTCAAAGGGCTTTAAACGATTCCAGAAGATGAATAAGGGTCTTATCAAGCGAAACGATCGCTCATTTAATAAATAAATAACAAAGTTTAAGTTTTATGAGCTCAAATGCTCGCCTTGCTCTGTTCTGTGATGCGCGTTCGTGACTCTCCTGTTCGAACACGTTCATCAAAATGAACAAATCTTTTTCAAGTCATTTGATCCATAGATATCTATATAAAGGCTATATATCTCGTCCGCGCTGCTGGCCAATGGAGGTCGACGTCAGCACCTGGCGGCCATCTTGTCACAGGCAGCTCGCTCACTTTTTAAATCACCATAACTTGCTCAATTTTCTACCGATTTTCAAACAGGTCTGGTTTGTTATGAACGGCAGAGATGTAGTTATGATACTGCATACTTATAAATAATAAGTGTATAATTAAATAATCATCCAGAATCATAGCCACGTTAATAACGTTTGTAAGAAAGCAAACCGTTTGTAAATCCGTCAAGATTTTTTAAACGAGATAAGAGTATTTCTTACATCAGATACCCCAGAGCCTGCCAGAAATCCTGTCTGTGACAAGATGGCCGCCGGTGATGACGATAAATACTCCGCCGTGAGAATTCTAGCCTTTATATAGATATCTATGATTTGATCAACGAACAAAATGACTTGAAAAAAAGATTTGTTCATTTTGATGAACGTGTTCGAACAGGAGAGTCACGAATCAACCTTGAAATGGCCGATGGTTTCGCTCGATAAGACCATTATTCACCCCCTAGAATCGTTTAAAGTCCTTTGAACAGTTTGCACTGAAACTCTCATTTGGACCTTGAACCGTTTGGTTCCCATTGAAGTCCATTATATGGAGAAAAATGCTGGAATTTTTTTCATCAAAAACCTTAATTTCTTTTCGACTGAAGAAAGAAAGACATGGACATCTTGAATGACATGGGGGTGAGTAAATTATCAGCAAAGTTTTTTTTAAAGTGAACTACTCCTTTAATGTTGGTCACAGTTTAGACATTGCTTAACAAATGTTTTTAATTTTTTCCAGGAAGAGCACAATTGTCAGACTGCTCTTTCGTTTCTACGAGCCACAGCAGGGCAACATCTACATCGCAGGCCAGAACATCCGTGATGTTAGTTTGGACAGCTTGAGGAAAGCTGTGGGTGTCATACCGCAGGTGAGGGTTTGTCATTCACACCGCCAGCGGTAAAGCCACATGATCCCATTCATTATAACAGAGAGATGAAGATTCCCGCCGACAGGATATAGGCGTGTCCAACGATGTGACACAGTTGAGATATATTTAACTTTATGCAAATGAAGTGCGAATCATCACAGATAAACCTCACTGTTTCTCATTCACCTTTAATATTTAAATGAGTCTCTTGAATGATTGAAATGCAAATACATTTAAGTCACTTGTCGCCACCCATTGGAATAACGATGTAATCTTATTCATTTGATGCGTCAATTAACTTGCAAAAGGTGATGTGCTATATTTCGATCACTAAATCAGTGTTTATATCCGATCTATAAACTTTTATGATTGATTCTGTGTGGTTGAAAGGACTCTTTGTGAAGCCGTTTCATGCTTGACGACTGCTTTCTCTGGTTCAGTGACAGATTTGAATGTTCGCTATGATTTGGACTTGTCAAAGGTTTGTAGACAGACGAATCATTGTTATTTAGGAATAGGATCGCGTGTGTCTTTGGATCGAGATCGGGATCTTTTAACGATTAATCGTGCCGCTCCGTCCATGAATGTCATTCTCAAACATAACCAGGCATTCCTGGAAGTGTAAATGGCTAAAGAACTATCAGATGTAATTATAACCCCCTCAGAAAACAAATCTCTGTTAGAAATTAGTTTCTTTTTTTTATAAGTAAGGTACCATGGGAACCGTAATCTTAATTATGTTCATAAGTCATAAGACTTAATTTGAGGCTGTGAAAAAATAAATTCATGAAACTTGTTTTTATGCCATTGTTGGTTTTAAAAGCATCTATGTAAATATATTTTCAGGATGCCGTGCTTTTCCACAATACCATATTTTACAATCTGCTGTATGGAAACATCAACGCCACGGCAGAGGACGTGTACCGGGTGGCCAGACTTGCAGGAATCCATGATGCCATTCTCAAAATGCCTCATGGATATGAGACGCAGGTCGGAGAACGAGGCCTGAAGCTCTCAGGTACACGACTTTCAGAAAAGAAAGCCGATATCCTTAAAGAGCACCTTGGGTGCAGAGGATTAGGTTCTTCTCGAGTGATCTGGTGCATGTTGTGTTGTGACAGGTGGAGAAAAGCAGCGTGTGGCCATCGCACGGGCGATCCTCAAGAACCCTCCCATCCTGCTGTACGACGAGGCCACATCTTCTCTAGACTCAATCACTGAAGAGGTAAGAGCTTTGGACTCTATCAATTAAACAGTAGATTCCTTAATAACAGGTATGAAAACAGTTGCACAGTACTGCACACAAGCTGTGTGTTTTCAGTAGGGCTGGGTAATAAATATGGTTTTCTCGATATTTTTACGAACCGATATCGATTCTTAAATCTCAAGAATCGATTAGTCATCCTGTTTCATTTGAATGAATTGGACATTGTATCGCGGCTGCGCGCATCCAAAAAATTGCAATAATCTTTGTCCTTTGTTACTATTGATATGAAACAAAGTCTCAATTTTCAAATTACGTCCATTTTCTTTAGAAATTCAAAAACATAAATAACTTTTTGGTAAATCTATACAGCATATTACATATGCATTATAATCTTAATGTTCTTCAATATTTAATGCATATTTGAATAAATCTGGCAAGTTTTTATGACAGCCACCATTTAAATGTTTATATTTCATATAATCTTCTTGTTATAAAATAAATAAAAGTGTAATTTAAGTGTTTGTATAGCTACAAAACAGTGAATTATTACCTTCATATTAGGCTAATGAAGCCTATAGGCTACAACTAGACTCCCATAGTTTACAGCATTAGTTCAGAGATTTAACTGTTATTAGACATACGAGGTCTGTAACAAGAGGGGATTGTGTAATACAAATGAGAAGAACTGCCTTTGGTCAGTCAGCTTTTTCTGTGAGAGCAGCTCACACTTGGAACAGTTTACCTATGTCTATTAAAGACATTGATTGCTTCATATGGGCTATTTTAAGATTAAATTAAAATCATGGTTAAAGGACATCAAGTGTGTACCCATATTTTGTAGTTTTTTAAATCATCTTAATCATGTTTTGATTTGTTGTTCTTGTTGAATGTATTTTATGAGCTTTTATGGAATTTGTTTTAATGTATGTATAAGTATTGTTGATTGTCTGAATGTATTTTATCGGTTATTACATCTGCCCAGTAACTACAGTTGAAAAGTAGCCAAGATGGCTAAGCTTGCACATTTTACATAAGCGTTTATTAATGTGCGCGGTTCCACTGATTAAATAAAAAATAAAATTTGATTTCCTTGAGAAAATTTGCCATTTATTGTAACTGATATCCAAAATAATCAATATCGAATCGAAATCGAATTGAATTGCAATCTTGTGAATCGAAATCGGATCGAATTGTGAAATTTGTGTCAATACCCAGCCCTAGTTTTCAGAGTATACGGTAGGGGGCGCTATTACACATCTTCTAAAAGAGTATTGAATCTCCACATCAAAACACAGGCGAAGAAGATGCAGAAGCAAGAGATATCATGTAAGCAGAATTATACGTAAAATACGCGATCATCAACATTAAACGGCAGATAAATCAATTGCCTAATGTTACTGAATGTTTCTTTCATAAAAAACTTTTTTGACAAATTCTACCCAAATTCAAGTGCATGAAGCTAGGATTAAAGTTTTTTTGTTTGGTTTTTTTTTAACCAGAGACTGTTTTCTTTCTTTTGATATATTGCATTTTTAGATATTCATACTTTCTGGGGACCTTGAAATTTTTGTGAAAATGCTCAAAAATGCAGGCGGTGGCTTACAACTCTTTCATAACTTCTATACCTCCATCTTGCTCCATCCATTGCTATAGCCACCATTCTCCCATTGGCCTACATATTAGCGTGGACCAGGTAGGGAAAAAACTAAAGAGGATTCATGTGGGCAAAGTAGTCGGCCGTGATGGAAGGTCCTGGAAATATGAGCAGAACAGCCAAGAGAAGGTGTGGCACAGATGTTTAATGTTTGAAGAGGGAGGTACCTGTTGGTGGAGTGCACAAAAGGGGATTGAAAGGGCACTGACGTCACTCCTGATGAAGTCATTAGAGAGGATAGTTCTTCCTTACCTAAGATCTGTGGTTGGAAGTACAATTGATCCGCTGCAGTTTGCCTATCGCTCTCATGTGGGAGTGGAGGACGCCGTCACCTATCTGACAAAAAGACCACAGTATGTGCGCCTACAGAACTGTTGGTCAGCTAGTTTTGTAGGCCACAGGGGACTGTTTTGGCACCTTTCCTTTCAACTTTTATGACTAGTTCACTTTAAAAAAAAAAAAACTTTGCTGATAATTTACTCACCCCCATGTCATCCAAGATGTCCATGTCTTTCTTTCTTCAGTCGAAAAGAAATTAAGGTTTTTGATGAAAACATTCCAGGATTTTTCTCCATATAATGGACTTCAATGGGAACCAAACGGTTCAAGGTCCAAAAGACACTTTCAGTGCAAACTGTTCAAAGGGCTTTAAACGACACCAGACAATGAATTGGAGTTTTTTTTTTATTTAAGTAGGCCATTGTATGGTAAACTATATCTACTTGAGAGATATATTATTATTGATTGATTGCACTATTATGGCTTGTTTCCACTGAGGGGTACAGTACGGTTCGGTACAGTACAGTACGGGTCGGGTCGGGTACACCATGATCAGGCTTGCGTTTCCACCGCCAACAGTACCCTTACTTGATAGGCGTGGTATGCTGGAAAGAAGCGATCGACGTCATTTTCGCGCAAAGAAAGCGACATAGTAAACAACAATAGATGACAGACAGCAGATCTTGTTCTTGCTTCTCGGCATGTTTGTCACTAGAAACAAGCGCTGGCATTAGGCGTTTACAAGAAGCCAACGCAACGTCTGACTCAGGAGAATGATCCAGAGGACGCGAGTCCAGTAATTCTGCTAATGGAAGAGCGCGTTCTTGAACGCGGCATTTAGCTCGCTCTGGCTCTGCGACTCCGGTTATCTCTGTATGTTCATTTTAGGCAACAATAAAACGAAATATATTATAAAACACCACTCTGCTTCTTTTCGATTTCATTTTAATACATTTTAAACATTCTAAAGCAAACAAATGTGGTTCAGGCAACGCATAGCCTATTGATTATGTTCTGCATGTAGCCTATAACATTATATATTTATAACAAAATATTTATAAATATTAAAAATATTTATATTTATTTATATTTATATTAAAAACATATTCCAGGCAATATGTAATGTAATGTATTGCATATCGCATTGGTACAAATGTTGCAATAAACATACAGATGATCTTGTAGTAAAATAAAAAAATGACAAAACTATCTCTTTTTTGTTGAATTTCAGTTTTATCAATAATAGCCATTATAAAAGTATAAGTAAAAAGTACAAAAAGATATACAGTAAAGCTTAAATATAACAGTCAGTCAAATATACAAATTCAGCGCTCAAAGATATGAAACTTCACGTAGCCTTCTGCCAAAACTATTGGCCAGGGAACGAATTGTAGATTCACGAGACCAAAGATCACCTGTTAGGTTTATACAAGACGAACTATTTCTCATGTTTAACCACTACAGAGACGTCCGAGTCAGCGGCAAACATCAGAACGACTAGCCGAGGAAAGGCTGTTCCAGGCGGGAGACACGAGCGCGAGCGTCCGGTGATCGCTTAGAATGGATCTCAGTCAAATTATCATAAATCTATAAATAAACCACAGATTTGAGCTTTAAAAAACTACTTTCTCGCCTGAAAAACTCATAAAACTACATTTCGTGACACAATAACAGTAGAATTATATTTCAACTGCATACTTTTAATGCCCTTGTAGCACGCGCGAGTGACGATACTCTGTCCACCAATCACCGTTCTGCAGTGAGTCTAGCTCCACCTTTTAGTACCCTTTCACTGTGCTAGGTACCCCAACGGAAGAGTACCCAAAAAGTGGTACGGTACGGTTCGGCTTTTTGGTACCATTCACAAGTTTTGACAGTGGAAACGCAAATACTTGCGTACCGAACTGCACCGTACCACTCAGTGGAAACGAGCCATTATTGTCTATTTTTGTGCGCGTTGTCTCGATTTCTGTCGCTGCTGTTACAGGGATTAATAAAGGAAGTCTAAGTCTTTCTCTGCCAACGTTTTTGTAAAAAGTGAACAAACATTTGGGAAAGGAATCAGGAAACTTTCTTAAGAATAAAACTCTTCTTAACTGCTACTTTCTAATTTGAGAAAAACTGTGTGTTCCCTTAAGAAAAAAGATAAGAACATTCTTAAGACAACATTTAAGGAGTATTCATATTCATAATCAAGTCATGATTATAATAAAGGAAGTCTAAGTCTTTCCCTGCCAACGTTTTTGTAAAAAGTTAAGTGAACATAAACAGTTGGGAAAGGAATCAGGAAACTTTCTTCTTAAGTGCTACTTTCTAATTTGAGAAAAACTGTGTTCCCATAAAAATGTTCTTAAGAAAAAAGATAAGACAACATTTAAGGAGTATTCATATTCCTGAAAAGAAGGCTCTTAAAAATAATTGTAAATAACGTTAGGATAACCTCCAACCTGTCTCAAATCCCCAAAGGTAAGATGATTAATGACTTTGTTGGGTTGTTTTAAAGATTAAGCGTTAAAACACATGGTACATATATAATACACATGACTAGTACCAGGAATCGAATCAGGAATCACAGATCGATTATAGAGGGAGCGCGTGCACATGTTCCCTCTGGCCAGGACTAACGAGGCAGCACACAGATACAGGACGCATTCACTGTAGAAAAAGCACAAAGACAGAGTGTAAATTAATGGGAAAGACCTCTGCATTATGACTGCATTGTAACTTGTCACAGTGATTAAATCCCATCAAGCTAGTCGGACAAAAAGGTGTTTTTCATTCAGCAAGTCTTCAGCAACACCCACCTTTCAATCAAATTACACCGACGCCAATAAGCCATTCATTTTCATAAGAGAAAAATGGATGTTTTTAATAAAATATTCGAGAACTTAAGAATTTTTCAAGAATTGCACTTAGGAACAATCTTACAAACTTTTTCGAATTTATCTTAAAGGGTAACTAAACCCCTGGTCAGAGCCTGACTCCACCCGCTGGCAATATTTGAAAATGCTGAAAAAGTGGGCAGACCCCAGCGGAGATAGAGGGGACGAAATAGATGCTAAAACACTCTATCCTGATCGTTTTTAATACTCACAATTCCAACTCCTGACTCGCTACAGTGGTTTTGACGACACAAGATGGGTTTTATTTTGCCAAGGGCGTGGTGAGCTGAAAGCTGCATACGTCACGAAGAACCGCTAAAATCCAATAGGAAAATTCAACTGCAGTAGCCACCGTTCAACCTGAAGAGGGCAGCACTAAGACACTTTTACACCATATATTGTAGAAATAAAACACTTTATACACAAATGTCAAAAAGTTACTCGAATCAACGACTGGTATTAATAAAGATCCATTCTTACACATCATTAACTAAAAAAAGTTGGTTTAGGGTTTAGTTACTCTTTAAGTTCTTTTTTTAAATCCGTAACTAAATGTGTTTCTTCGATCACATTAGAGCCAGACCGATATATCGGCAGGCTCATATTATCGGCCGATATTAGGCATTTTCTAAACTATCGGTATCAGCAGTCATAATGGCCGATAAATGAATATTTCAAAAATAAAATAAAAACGGACGAATCACGCTTCAACCATGTCATGAGTGTTGTCAAAAAGTGCAGGTAAAGGGATAGCAAGCTGACATTGTAATTATAAGGTAGCTTATAACTATAAGGCAATGTAGGGACTAATTATTATTTTATTTATCAGAACTTTAACATATTTTGATGTTCCTTTGTTCTGTTGAGACAAGTTTCTTTTTAAAATGCATTATCCTTATTTTAGTTAAAACTCATAAATAACTAATGTTAGGGATATCTGTTAATATTTTGTTGTACATTTCTGAAATAAGAATAATAATAATAATATCGGCCGATATATCGGATTTTAAAACCAACAAATTTTTGTATCGGTATCGGCCTTCAAAATCCTTTATCGGTCTGGCTCTAGATCACATCCACCCCAACGTTTTTTTTTTTCTTTCTTGCTGATCCAAAAATGATCTGAACTGAGAGTTTTGTGATGCGTTGCACCACTAAAATACACAGAAATATGTCAATGTCGTGTATGTCATAAGTGAACATAAATAGTTGAGAGAAAATTCGATGTGTAACAGTAAATTAGATCTGTGCATACGGTCGTACAGGGATAGGTCACCCAAAAATGAAAATTCTGTCATTAATCCTCAAATCATTTGAAACCTGTGAGACTTTCGTTCATCTTTAAAACACAAATAGAGATATTTAAATGAAACCTGTGATCTCTCTGTCCCTCCATTGACGGCTCTGACAATGACGCTTCAAAACGTTCATAACGAGATCGGAAAACAAATCCGTGTAAATCGACTAGTTTTGTAAAGAGACATGATCGCTTTTTATGATGAACAGATTTAACTTAGGCTTTTATTCACACAAGTCACATGTCTGAAATGTTGGCGTCATACTATGTTTATTTATTAGAATACAACACAACATGGGTCAAACAGTATTATAGTTATTTATTTATTTGCAACTGAGTCAAATTTTGCCAGGGCAGTTTGACCCATTGGCTCGACCGGGCCGGTAGAAACAATCCTTTGCTCTTGGTTTATCAGCCTCATTTTAACTATTTAGCAGTGTAGATCACGAACAGATCTTTGAAGAAAGAATAACTGCTCAATACTGCTGGTTTTGAGAACAGTTCATTTGATATTTACACTAAGCCTTTTCATTTTCATTAGGTTTTATGTCTTATTATAGTCAAGGAAGTGTTTGCTCTGTTGGCTTTCTTCTGTTTTAATGCATCTTATTGTCAGAAGGTCTTCATATAAATCCTGTCAATCATATCAGGGCTTGTTATTGCAGAGAAATGTTGCTGTCATGAGGCAGACGGTTCCTTAATGAAAGAAATATCACTTCAACCTTGCAGACTCATTCAGAGGAGCGAGGATAAAAGAGAAACAACACTTTTCAAACACCTCATGATTTTTTTTCCCCCCTCATTTTCTTTGCAGAATATTATGACTTCCATGAAGAAGATGGTGAGGGACAGAACATCTGTCTTTATTGCGCACCGGCTGTCCACCATTGTGGATGCGGATGAGATTATTGTACTAAACCAGGTAAGCTAAATATGTGTGACAGGTGGCGAAACACACAGAAGCGAATGCACTAATCAAGAATACAGTGTTAAATTCCAAATACTATAAAGAAAAACTATGGAGATTCACACCAACGTCAAAGTTCGGTCAATTCTGAACCCTGACCCGCTCGATTTATAACGATCACCTAAATAGCGAGTTTCATTACATATTTACTCTACAATGTGCATGTCAAAATTATAGCTATAAATGAATATAAATGTCCACTCCTTTTTAGTCTGTGGTTTGAATGTGTGCAGGAAATGGTTATATGTTACACAGTGAGCTGAGATTATTTGAACCCATGGCAATATATGTTAATCTAAAATAAAACAAAATCCAGTGGATTATAATTGGCAAAACTAAAGTAGCCTAAATCCACGTTTATTTTTACGTGTCAGTCAGTCTGAGGTGTTGTTGACAACACATTGCATCACTTTCGTGTGTGTGGCTTCGGAGTTCGGACTTGACTGAAGGGGTCAGTCAAGTCCGAACTGTAAAAAAAAAATGTGTTCAATTTACGGTAAAATACCGGTAGCTGTGGTTGCCAGAAATTTACCGTATAAAATACGGTAGCAAGAATTTACGGTAATAAGATTTTACAGGCTTAACTTAAAATTTACGGAAATAAACCGTATTTAATTATCTGATATACTGTTAAATTATCGACGTGTTTATCTGTTTTATACCATTGTAATATACTGACATCCATCAATCACAGCAGTAATGAGAGTCACATGATATATGAAAACTCATCACATGTAGCTCTTTCACAAGAAACTTAATATGAACATATAGAAGCGGCACAGTGTTATTCACTCAAATATTAAACACCATCATGGTAACACACATAAAATTTTAAAAACGCAATAAACATTAATTTAACAACATTAAATGTCACATAAAACCCTAATGTACCTAACTGATTAGAAAAAGACTAAGCAAACTATGAAGAAACAAGTTATTTCAGCAAAAATGCATCAAGTGTGGAGTGTCATGCAGGGAATTGTGAGAATGTCAATTTCCGTTTTTTCACTGTAAATTATACGATGAGTTGTTAATTTTCACTTTAAAAACTGTAAATTTTACAGTAAAATTACTTGAAATTAACCATAAGATCTATCACAGTTATTTACCGTATATAGTAAGGAAAGGTTCTGTTAACCAATTAACAGGTTTTCTCTGTAGCATTTTTACAGTCTTTTACTGTTAAAATCACAATCATTTTTTTACAGTGCTTCCATTGAGTACATGGCAGGAGAAAAAAACCCAGAACAATTTAACTTTATTTTATTTTTTTTCAATAAAGGTATTGTGTCGATTCAGTTAAAAATCAACATATTACATATTTCAAAATATTACATATCAACATATTCAAAAAATCAACATATTACATAAAAATCAAAAAATCAACATTGCACATTTCATTCATAATGTATAATACACCGACCAATCATCATGTGCCAAAACAAGTTCAAAAAGTTCATTGGACAATGTAAAGTGGAGCGGTAATATTCTGGTCATTCATAAATCGTTTGAAAACGATATGGGCAAACCAATAAATACCCAATGCAGGGGACATGTAGCAACCAAATTAACTCAAGTGGGAATCTTTCTCCATGAATGTATCGATGTGGATTTGAAAAGATATGAGAGACAATGCAGTGTCATTGACAAACTCCACACCCATTTCATGGGCATTTTTTAGAGGATATAGTCATTGTTTCATAAGCTGTTTCACCAACAGACTGGATGTCCAAGGTCACGTGGGCAGTGACAGCAGCGAGAGCTCTTCATCATCGCAAATGAAGGACACAGAAGATGTGAATGCTTTCTTCCAGTCCATCTGAAATTATATTAAACTGTTTGCACTACTTGTTTCCATGTAGAGCAGAAGCACCACAAAAAAACATTTGCACCTCAAAGCAAAATGCAACAATAGGAAAAATATGCAAAGGATGCTAATGTTTCCCAGGGTCCCCTTGTGCTGCTCCATGTGAAAAGTACAGCAGACATTGCATACCGGTGATTTTAGGGCTGTGTTTATGACATGCCTTGGTCGTGGTGTCATCCAGCTTAATGTGTCTCGACATCTTAACAGCATTCACTAGTCGATGCATTGGCTTTGGCTGAACAGTTGAGCTTGATCCATTGAAGGTCCATTGTTTGATTATAAAAACTGCATCAAATGCATGTCATTCTCTGTCTAATAACCCGAAATAGTCAGTCATTTACAGTGAACCTTGATTCCTGCAAGTCGAATGTCGCCCACAGGCTGACAGACACAGTAAGCGAGTGGCACATGGCTGTATCTTTGAAAGATTCATGGTAACACAAGCAGCGTGAACCTTTCAATGGAGCAATATGAGCTTTTGTGATCATCTCTCCACTCGCACACTCTCCGTCGACGTCATGCTGGACTCGCCAGAGACGGGACAGGTGTTAATACTACAACTAGTGCACAAATGTCCAGTCCCACTTTCATAAATCAATTTGCTTTTATCAACACAAAAACAAAACAAAAAATAAATGTAAAACGTAAAATAAACGGAAAATTTATTAGTTTTGCTATTTTAGTTTTGCACACATTGTCATGTTAATTGTCGTTGATATTTGTTTGTGAGGGGCACTTTTGATTGATTTTTGATTGATTGACACCCACACACACATGTTCCTGGTCCTTATCTGTAAATCGCAGCCATTTCCATTTTGTATATTCTGCCAAGTGTCTTGTTTAACTTCACAGACTTCATTAAACAAACGTTTTTATTTCATCAATATATATATATATCAATATATCATATCTATCAATATAATGGATTAAAATTACCGTATTTTCCGCACTATAAGGCACACTTAAAAGCCTTTAATTTTCTCAAAAAACGACAGTGCGCCTTATAATCCGGAGCGCCTTATATATGGATCAATTGGTTAATTGGATCAGTTGGTTAATAACTAGGGTTGGGTATCGGTTGGGTTTTATCTGATACCAGTACCTGCTCTGTATTTTTTTAATGGTTCCGGTGCCTAAACGGTTCTTGAAACGGTACTTAAGAAAATGAAACCACACACACTTTGTCAAAAAAATAATACCCCTTTTTTTACAGGGCCAAATTGGACACAATATTAACTTACAAAATAAATACAAGTAACGTATGGTAATAATAAATAAACCAATATAAAATAAAAGTTCACATTTACATAATGTCAAATAAAACAATATTGTATCAAACAATGTAATTATACTGGAGATTAACCAGGTTAATCTAATATCGACATGCCTACATGTTTTGTCTGCTTGAACTAGTCATGTAAGTTATCTGCTCATTTACTAGTTAAAGGGTTAGTTCCCCCAAAAATGAAAATTCTGTCAGTATTTACCCACCCTCATGTTGTTCCAAACCTCTATGTGTTTATTTGTTCTGCTGAACACAAAGGAAGATATTTGGAAGAATGTTTTATTCAAACAGATCTCATTCCCCATTGACTACCATAGTAGGAAAAAGTACTTACTATGGTAGTCAATGGGGAATGAGATCTGTTTGATTAAAACATTCTTCCATTATTCTTCCTTTATGTGTTCAGCAGAACAAATAAACACATAGAGGTTTGGAACAACATGAGGGTGAATAAATACTGACAGAATTTTCATTTTTGGGTGAACTAACCCTTTAAGCTCTTAGCCAGTTTGATATTTCGTTCCCACTGCGTCTTAGCTACGCAGCTTTGAGTAAACATGAAAGAGAACGTCTGTGTAACCCATGTTCTCTGAATAGGGAACGAGACGCTGCATTCGCTGCCAAACTCCTCGCGCTGCCGACAAGTTTCCTTTTACAAACGGTAGAGAAATCTGATATAATATGATGACGTGAGCATCAAGGCGGCGCGAATCGTGATTTTTATATGGGCTTCAGACAATCGTTCTGATGAGTAATTTTACACGTGAAATGCAGTCAAACCTTGCAGCGTTTTGTCTTCGGTATCTTCAGCAATCCCCTCGCTATCAGCAGACGTTCCGGGAGTCTCCCGCATATTAATAACGGCTCCCGGATGATCGCAAATTAGTTCAAATCTCCCAGAGTGTAGAGCGAGCGAGCAAGAGCACGCGTGCAGGACAAAACAGACAGTGCTATAAACCGTATAGTGCGCGCACGTCGGAGAGCGAGAGACTGCACGCCTCTGACACAGACTCGGGCACCGAAATGAGGCACCGAAATTTTCATTCTTATTCGGTCTGGTTACTACCGTTTACGTCAGAAGCGGTTCCCTATTGGGACCGAGTTTCGGTACCCAACCCTATTAATAACGTTCCGCGTTATTAAAGTCGCCCGCGAACTCGCGCTGGTGTCCATCTTATGCCCGCTCTGTCACACGGCCAGTTCAACCTCATATAAATCAGGTTATGCGTCTCCCGCTCTCGAGCGCAGACACACGAACAGACACACTGTCCCCGGCGCTGCCCGGCGCTGTTTATGAACAGAATGTTCATAAAGTGCTCCCCGTTCACAGTAACCGGGTCGTCTCATTCAAAACAGCCAGCTGTTGCCGTCAGCGAGCCGCCATAGAATGAAAAATATAAAAGGTAATTGCGACTTTTTATCTCACAATTCGGACTTTTTTTCTCACAATTGCGAGTTTACTTTTCGCAGTTCTGACATTCTAAGAATTGCGAGATATAAAGTCAGAATTGTGAGATTTAGACTATTCTGAGGTGGAAAAAAGTCTTTTTTTTCCCCCTTAGAATTGGCCTGATAAGTTGCAATTGCGAGTTTATGTCTCACAATTCTTAGAAAAGATGTCAGAATTTCTACATATAAACTCTTTGCAATTATGTGTTATAAGTTATAGTCAGAATTGCGAGATGCAAACTCACAATTGTGAGAAAAGTCAGAATTGTGAGAAAGTCGCACTTGTCTTTTTTTTCTCAGAATTGCTACTTTATATCTCGCAATTCTGACTTTATATCTCACAATTCTTACTTT